GGGGCTGCCCCGCCGCCCGTGTCCTCTGGGGAGAGAAAAGCTGCTCTGCGTCTCCCTGGTCTGCTGCGGGGGTGGGGGGCGGGGGGACTCCCGGGGGGGCTTCCCCCTCCAGCAGACCAGGGAGACGCGGAGCAGCTTTTCTTGCCCCAGAGGACGCGGGCGGCGGGACCGTGGCGCATCTGGGCGTCCCGCCGCTCCTGTCTTCCGGGGTGAGAAAAGCCCCGTTCGTAACTGCGGATCCAACATAAGTTAGATCCGCGTAACTCGGGGACTGCCTGTACTACATTAAATGCTCAAGAGGGAAACTTTTCTGTCTAAAGCACCATGCTACACATAATAGCTTTTCTAATTAAAATTAAAAAGGCAGTTTCCTCATGGAAATATTAAGTCTGAAATCTCAATATTGTTTCACTACTCCATGAGCTTAATAGAGCATACAGCTAATGCTTTATTTGGTTTAGTGGAAGCTGCTTAATAAAACATTACTCCTTTGGAAAGATGCAAATTTTAAATATGCCATTGCCTGAAAATTCTACCTCTGTAAGACTCTAGGATGGAGGAAAATTTGAAATTGTAGAGGCCCTGAAGGTCTCAAGAAGCCGAAGAAATAATGGCTCTTACGGAAAAAGCTTTTGAGGAATTAAAAATAGACTTGTGTCTTTAACTGAGATAAATAGCAACCTATGAGTGTTTTCATTGTGAGTAAATTTACTTCAGAGAAACAGATACTATTGGGAAGGGGAAAATATCTTAATATTTGGCTGAATTTCCATTTCCAGAAATAGCCATAATTTTATCTAAGTACATATTAACACATTTTAAATTATTTCTCAGACATATCTACAGCTTGCTGAAGATGACAAGATTCGGTATGAAAATGAAATGAAGTCATGGGAGGAGCAAATGGTTGATGTTGGACGTGAAGATCTGATACGTTACAAAAACAGATTAAAAAAGTCAAGAGTTGCAGCAGAGAACAAACCTGTAAAAAAGGTTGTTTCAAAAAAGATGGTTAAAACTATAAAGAAGGTTCAAAGAACTGAAGCTTCATCACCAGAAGTTATGGCAAAATTAAAGACACACAGTTCTGAAGAATAAAGCTGGTAAATGTTTTATATTTAATTACTTAATTGCCAGGACTTCATTCTGTTTGTAAGTGTTAATGCACTTAGCACTAGCACTGAATTTTTTTGGGGAAAAAATAGATGGTTTATATAAGATGAGAAAAAAATTGGGTAAGAGATTTGAATGAAAGTCTCTTAGAACTATTTGAATGAAAGTCGCTCAGAACTACAGAAATTATCTCTGTAAGTGTAACATAGTCTGTATAAACATTAATCAAGCTGTGAACACTTTTGATACTGATTGTGATGAGAAGAACATTTTTGAGCCCACAATGATGCAAACAAGTGTTTCTGTAATTTATAAGGTATTTTTATTAAAGTGTAACCATAATCTACACTTATTATCTTCTAAATTATGTAACTAATTGGGAGGTGAAATTTGAATTGACAGCAGAGTATGTGTTCTGTTCCCTCCCCTAGTGTTAACAATGCGTGCATTAGCAAGAAATAAATGTCTGTGTTTGTATTTTTACTAATTTCAGTTCTAGCCAAAACAAATGTAAACTTCTGAATTATGTACATATTTAATTTGCATCCAGATTCATCCGTATACTAGTCTGAACGTATCCCACCACATCTATGCATGTGTATAAGCTGCATAGAATAAAAGAGTCTTGTACAAAATATTTTCTCTTGTTTTCTGCCATTACTTCAAAAAACTGCAAACATTTTATTGTCAGTTTTGGGGTTGTTTCCAGAGGAAGCAATATACACTTTTTAAAGTTTATAATTTCAAAACCATGGCTTCTGATTTAGGAATAAAACTGGGCTTTGTCAAGATCTGATTGGTGTTTCTTGGAGCCTTCTCCCTTTGCTGAGGTCAGTGACAAAACTTCAGGCTTCTAGAGAGGTTATTCCAAGCTTGTATGTTAAGTAACTTAACTACACCTAATTCAAAGAAATCCTAGATAACTTTGTGGAAATTTCTCCTTGAATGAGGAAAAAGCAAGCAATCACAGGAAGTTCAAAAGCCTGTAATAAATTGACAGATATTTCTCCGTTCCTTTTTGAGTTAACTTATGTTCAGGTTCCATGAGCCTCTGGTACCACAGACAGGAAGTACTGTGAGGGTATGTGTACAGAGCACCCTTACCTCAAAATAGCTTATTTCAAAAATAAAGTGCTATTCCAACAAATCCCATAACCATCGTGGAAAAGGGAGTTACTCACCCTGTGCAGCAACGACTGTTCTTTGAGGTGTATGCGCCTGTGGATGATTCATGTATGGTGACAGACCTCCCTAGAGCCACAAATCGGACTTTTTTCTAAGCAGTTGCTAGTTGGGCTGCACATACTCAGCAGGCGTCTCATGCTGCTGTCAGTTTGACAGTTGAGACCCCTTCCCCTCAGTTCCTCGTCTACGGCAGAGCAGACTTACTCCAAGTAGCGGGGAGAAAGGGAGGGTGGTAGAGCACCCATGAGGGAGACACACCTCAAAGAACAATCGTTACTGCACAGAGTGAGTAACTCCCTTTTCTTCTTCAGATGACGTCCCTATGGGTGCTCCATGTATGGTGACTACCAAGCAGTGTTCCATGCAGTTGATGGGACTCAGAGTTACTGCTTAATAGCAGCGGATAGCACCACGGTAGCTACCACTGCATCATTTGTCAATTGGGGCATGATTGCATAATGTTTAGAGAATGTGTGATCAGAGGATCACGTGGCTACCTGGTAAATGTTTCGTAGCTGCATATTTTTGAAGAATGCCATTGATGCTGCCATAGCTGGAGTAGAATGGGCTCTTGGTAAGGCTAGCAGAGGTTTACTAGAGAGTGAATGGCATTGGAGAATGCAAGTCACTATCCATTTTGAAGTTTGCTGAATTGAGATGGGGTTGCCCTTTGAAAGGCCAGCCATAGCAACAGTGTTGTGAAAACTCCAAGTTCTGTCAATGTAAAAGGCCAAAGCTCTTCGTACATCCAGCAAATGCAGCATTGCCTTTATGGAAGAAGCATTAGGTTTTGGGAAGAACACGGGCAGGACAATGGGCTCATTGATATGGAAGCTTGTGCCGACCTTCAGGAAGAATGTCAGATGTGGCCTCAAAGTCACTTTATCCTTACCCAACATTGTGTAGGGTAGGTTCTCCATTAGCTCACTTATTTCACTGCATAGAAATAGAACTTTCATGGTGAGTAGCGATTGAGAACCCGTACCCATTGGCATGAAAGGGGGCTTCATGAGCAGCCAATACCGGATTAAGGTCCCATGCAGGGGTTGGCACTCTACGAGGTAGATAGAGATTATGAAGACCTTTGAGGTACCTCCCTGATAGTGTGTGTGCAAATACTGAAACCCCCTCAAATTGTGGAATGCCAAGATGGTGGCCAGGTGGACCTTGATCAAAGACAGATAACCCATCAGTCTTCAGGGTGCATAAGTAGTCCAGAATGGTTGGTATTGGAGCTTCACTGGGGTTGATTTGTATCCGCTGACTTCAGGAGGCAAAACGCTTCCATTTCAGCAGATAAGTCACCCTGGTGAACTGTTCCTTGCTGTGCACTAGGACCTCTCACATGCTCTCACACTGGACCTCGTCATGGAAGCATCAAGGAGCTGTGCACAGAGGTGTAGCAACTGCAGGTTCGGGTGACACAGCTTGTCTGGAATAGGAGCTTGTGTCAGTGTGGCAACTGGAAATCAATGAAATCGGAGGAAAGGCGTAACACAGTGGCTCATCCCATGTGAGGAGGAACACATCACCCCTGGATTGCCTGTCCGCTCCAGCTTGAGAACAAATTTTGGAACATTTGGCACTGTTTGGTGTTATGAAGAGATCAGTGGTGAGAGAGCTCCATTTGCAGAAGATATCTAACTGCTGAGTGGCATTCCCACTTGTGGTGAATTGTAAAGTTGCAACTTAGGACATCTGCCATGGTGATGTCGACCTCCAGTAAGTACGTGGCTTTTAGGGTGATCCCATGCCTAATATACCAGTTCCACAGGTGGACTGCCTCTGCACACAGATCTAGAATGTGCTCCCCCCCGCCTGTTTATGTAGTACATCGTGGTTGTGTTGTCTGTGACAACATAAACTGAGCAGTTGGTTATGGACGAGGCAAAGTGCCTGCAGGCATTTTTTGATGGCCCTGAGTTGTAGAATGTTGATGTGTAAGAGTCTCGTGTGGCAGCCATTGGCCGTGTACAGTTTTGCATTGGAAGTGCACACCCCAACCCAGCAGAGACGTGTCCATGGTAATTTGTACGGCAGGCTCCTCCTGTAAAAACGGGATCTCAGTTAAGTGGTTGTGTGGACATGTCCACCATCTGAGCGACTGCAGCACTTGCTCGGATACAAGCACCAGTTTGTGTAAAGGATGACTTAAGGACATATAGACCGATGCTAGCCAATGCTGTAAGGCATGGAAATGGAGGTGTGCATATCACACCACATATGTGGTGGCTGCCATGTACCCCATCTGTTAAAGGCCGGTACAGACTGTGATGGATGAATTTGCGATGAGGGTGAGAACCAAATCTCGAAGGGTATGGAATCTATGTTGTGGAAGGTATGCCCTGGCTGATGTGGCATCGAGTCTTGCTCCTATGAATTCTAAGTCCTGAACTGGATTGAGCATTGACTTTGGTTCGTTGATTACAAGTCTGAGCAAGTTGAACAGTTGCTTGGTTCTTGTTATGTCAATCGCCTCCCCTTGTGAACAACCTTTCAGTAAGAATTCATTGAGATAAGGAAAAATTGTCACCCCCTGTTGTCAGAGATATCCCGCCATGGCTGCAAGAACTTTGGAGAAGACCTGCAGGGCAGATGACCAGCCAAAGGGAAGGATCTTGTATTGAAAATGGTCCCCTCCCGCCGTAAAGCGAAGGAAATGGATGCATGGTTATGTGGAAATACGTGTCTTGTAGGTCAAGGGCTGCGAATCAGTGCTGGAATTATTGAGGCTAGTGTGACCATTTTGAAGTGCTGTTTCTGCAGGAATTTGTTCAGCTTCCAGAGATCCAGGATTGGCTTCCAGCCTCCTGTGCACTTCTGGGTGAGGAAATACATTGAATAAAAGTCCCTTTCCCCAGTATGGAGTGGGAACCCTTTCTATGGCTCCTAGTTGAAGAAGCTGCTCCATCTCTTGCTTGAGAGGTAACTTGAGAGTAGTCCCTGAAGAGGGATGGGGAGGGGGGATTGGGTAGGTGGGATGGACGTAAATGGGATGGTGTAACTCGTGTGTATGATTTCCAAAACCCAGCTGTCTGATGTTATAGTGCCCCACTGATGGATATAGGGGTAAATCATGTGGTGGAATAGGCAGCCTTGTTCCTGTCATTTCACTGGAAGATCTGGGAGTTTGTGCAGACCCTCGACCAATGTTTCAAATTTGCTGTTTGGTAGCTTAGGAGCCTGAGAAGCGTGATTGCTGAGGGCGCTTCCTCTGGATATGGTGTCTATTCCTGGTATAATCATTGGGCTTGTGTTGTGGCTGGTTGTAGAAAAACTTCCTGGTCCTGTTGTACAGGGTGTAGCGCCTTCTTTTGTAGGGTGCATAGGGTAGTGTGGGAGTTACTACCATGCAGGATCTTGTCGGTGCTGGCTGCAAAAAGTTTTAGCTTGTCAAAAGGTAGATCCTCTACTTTATTCTGAAGATTTTTGGGGGACCCCTGCAGCCTGTAACCATGACACCCTTTTCGTGACTGTCACTGTGGCCGATGCCCTTGCAGCTGCATCAGCCAAATCAATTGCTGCTAGTAGAGCAATGTGGGCAATAATATGGCCTTCCTGAAGGTTCACTCGAAGGATAATCTTTTGGACTCTGGTAAATGCTCCATGAGTTCTGCTAATTTAGAGTAGTTATCAAAATCATGGCTTGCTAATAATACGGTGTAACTTGCTATCCTAAGCTTCAGAGTAGCTGAGAAGTACATTTTTTCCCTGAAGTGGTCAAGTTTCTTGTGATTTTAGTCCCTTGTATTGAATCTAAACTGGGGAGTCTTGTATCTTTGATTTGCAGTATCCACTGCCCACAAATTGGGTTGGGGATGGGAGAAAAGAAAATCTAGCTCTTTCGGGAGAACAAAATAGTTTTTGTCCACCCTTTGCCAGTTGGTGGAGCTGAAGAAGATGCTTTCCAGATATTATCCAAGACCTCCATAATGGCCTCACGAATGGGCAATGCTATTCTGCCCCTTGTGAATGGTCGAATGTTTTTAAGGAGGCGATGCTGTTTCTCCTTTACTTCCTGAAGCTTGAATTCTGATGTGGTGGCCACTCTTTTGAAGAGGTCCTGAAATGGTTTCAAATTGTCAGTGCCGTGCATATCATCCAGGACCATAGCCTCATCTAGAGAGGGGGAAGGATCATCTCGCAAGGAGCGTGAACCTTCATGATCATCGGATAGCTGATCCTCCTCCTCTTTGGAATCTGGCATGGTCAGGATAGTCTGGAGTAAAGAGGCTGGCAGAAGTCTTCTAGGTGAAGGGGAGAGACCATTCAAACGATGCCTGTATGGTCTTCAGTAGTCCCAGGGTGCCCACTGTGGCAGGTCATGTGGCAGTGGATAATGACAGTCAGGGTATCATTGTGGGTGGACTAATGGTGGTAGCTTTGGGACATTGTGAGGGACGAATGTTGTGAAGAAAATGTACTCCTTTGGTCTTAGTGAAGTGTAGCACGGTCATATGCCCGTGGAGATGTCCTGCGGGCTGGAGAACAAGGCGATGAGAGGATAGTGACCGCTGTCCAGGTGCAGGGGGAGGGGAGCAAATATGTACCACCTCCTCAGAAGTCTGAGTCTTGCTTTTGACTAGTTCCTGTGTGTCAGCATGATGCATCCACTGAACACATGGAGCAGCCTCCTCAGGGGGAGGCACTTGGGCGGACAGTGCAGCCCGTGGCGGTGCACTGATTTCGCAGAGCAACTTGGCAGGCAGCTCTGCATCCTGGTTCAGTGCCATGTGGCGGGAAATGTGAATCAGCACCAGGGTTTGCTGGCGCAGCTTCTGTGAAGTGGAGGAGGTGCGCATGGGCTCGAAGTGCTGCCTCGGTATCACAGCAGCAGTGCCTGGAGAGGCTCTCTGCACCAAAACACTTGTGGTGCCAGGAGTGTTCCTCTGCCTGCTGTGTTCGGGGTATGGATGAAGTGGCAGTGACCTCATCAGCAATAGCCCATGAACCCTTTGCCTCTTAGGGGTTGGGGAAACCGATCTCTGAATGGGGGAGGGATCTACCCCTTTGCTGTTGGGATCTGCATTAATCTGTAAAGCAGGGGTGGGCAAAAGGGCTGGATGCAGCCCGCCAAGCAGGTTGATCCAGCCCATGGAGGCCCTGCTGCTCCCCCGCACCCAGGCCAGTTAGCGCCTGGGAGCGGGGGGAAGGGCATAAAGCTTCCTCCACCCTGCAAGGAGTGCATGGTACTTCTAAGCGCCACGTGCTCTTAGCAGAGCAGGAGGAGACTTTGCATGCTCCTTTGCCCCCAGCCTTGATTGACCTGGGGGCAGAAGGGAGAGCGCATAAAGTTTCCTCTCACTGCCAGGGCCATGGGCACCTAGGGGGAACCTCGGGGGGGGGAGGAAGAAGACTCTCAGAACTAACATGGTCTGTGGGTGTGGAAGCAAGGAAAAATCATGGCCCTGCCCCTTCTAGTGTGGCCTGGGGCCACTTAGAAAATTTCTGAAGTGGCCCCTGGTAAAAAATGATTGCCCACCCCTAATTGTAAAGTCTTTTCTAAGAGCAGCATACGGAGCCTAAGGTTCCGGTCTTTCCTGATTCTTGCTGTCATGCTACAACAGTTGTCACATTTCTGGGGGATGTGTCTCCCTGAAACAACGAATGCCCATCAGGAGCAGGCATTGGGTCAATATATTGAAGCTCTGCAAGCCTGGCATGACAAGCCATTAACATCTGATTAGGCTGGGAGGGAAGGTCTTGCTTAGAATGCATGTGGGCTCCAGATAAGTGCTTCCGTAGCATTTACCCCCTCAGGGCAGTAATCTTTTCCTTTGTCTTCTGTTTTGGTTCTCTTCCCCCCCCCCTTCCTCCTAAGTGGCTGAATTGGAGCAGAGCTGCCTTCACACAGTACTTGTTACTAAGTTTGTTTTTTGTTACTGTTTCAGTGTTAATTGATTCCTTGTTACAACTTCATTTCTTTAAAAAAAAAGTTTTTTTTCCTAGTCCTGGTCCTAGCAGACCACTTCAGTGGCAGCAGCTTTGATTTCCCTCATGCCCCACTTCATTCATTCTACCCCTTTGCTTCCCCATTTTAAAAGAAAAGAAAGAACATAGCCTGAGCTTCAGCAATACTCCACCATTCCCAGCTCTCAGGGCTTTAAGAAGTGTTTCCAATGCAATGAACCCATGCCGGCTTTGGATGGGCACAATTCTTGTATAAGATGCTTGGGGGAGGCACATGCCCCCCAAAAATGTGACCACTGCAGGAGCCTCATAGCCAGGGCTAGGAAGAAGCGAGAAGTGCAGCTTCGTATGATACTATTTGAACGGGCACTGCAGCCTTCCGGAGAGCCCCAACCCTCTTTGACTCAGAGAGGCCTGAAAGATAGATCTATGTCTCCCTTGCCCCACAAACACTGCAGGGCAAAAGGTCTCTCCAGTGAGATCATTTCTGGTGAAGCCATCCCCCAGACTAGCTGCTGGGGACACGTCAAGCGCATCGGCAAAGCTAGTGGCGACATCTTTATCAGGCAAGGCTAAGCTGCACCCCACACTGTCTCAGGGTCAGCTGAAACAAAAAACAGGACTATGTAGCACTTTAAAGACTAACAGGATGGTTTATTAGGTGATGAGCTTTGGTGGGCCAGACCCACTTCCTCAGATCAAATAGTGGAAGAAAGGTGCATTCATCATCGGCACTGGAGGGACTGTACTGACAGACCATGGCACTGCTGCAACCAGCGCCACAGCACTCGGGCCTTGTCTAGACTACGAGGAAGATTCGAAGGAAGATATGCAAATTCTGCAGGATCTCACTTTTGAAAGCGGAGCATTTGAAAGTGAAAGTAGTTTAGATGCTGATTTTTCGGCGAACCCCTCTGTGTCAAAAAGCTGCTTTTCCTCAAAAAATGAGGTTTATGTGGCTTTTCAACAAAGCGGGGTGTGATGTAGTGCGCAAGCCATACACTAGGGTCATCCACTGGTGGCTGTGTTTGGGCTGGGGGTGACCCTTACTAGCCAGTATCTGTAGCACTGCCCAACAGGACAGCTGCCTAAGACCGGTTGAGGACAGGGAGGGAGACAATAGGAGGGAGGCACAGATGAACACCAGGTTTCGGGGGAAGGGGCACTTTCTGGCTGGAATCATGAAGGAGATGAACTAAGGAGGGGGGCTGGAAGTCTAAGGGCCAAGGCACCCCATCTCAAGGGGTCTGAGGCATCCTGGTCCAGACTCCCGTAGCCACGTCATGTCTAGGCTGTGCTGTATCCTGGAAAAGCAATAAACCCTCTTTATTCTACTGACTGGTAGAGTCTGTTCTTGCTGCTACGGGGCTGCATGATCAGGGGGACCCCTGACGCGCCGTCACAGAGGGTCTGCCAAAAAAGCCGCATCTAAACTACTTTCAGTTTTGAAAGCTCTGCTTTCGAAAGTGAGATTGGAAGAAGATATGCAAATTCCTGCAGAATTTGCATATCCTCTCTCAAATCTTCCCTGTAGTTTAGATACAGCCTTGGTGTTGGGAACTGCCTACCAACCAACACCTCAAGTACTTGACACTGCTTGCTGGGGAGCCATCACCTAGAAGAAGCTCTTTTCCCCCCCCCCCCACCT